ATGGAGACAAAAACATGATAAAAAATAATAATAGGCCTAATAATAGTTTTAGATTTATAACACGCATCTATACCTATAATTAACTTATCAATTACACCAACCCCCGCATTGGAAAATGCCTATGGGATTTATATTACCATTCTGCAGCCATAACTCTTTGAACCTATCAGTACCCACCTCCTGAGTGGAGAGAGACAACCGTATATTGTAAGGTGTCTTGCCCGGCACATTCGGATGCAAAGCGAAGGTTAAAGGGTAAAGGTTAATCATTTATATTGCGCAAAATACGAGAGTCAGAGATGCGCTCGATTCTCCAACAGCTCCACCAAACAAAATGGTTTGGATGATGATATCACAACGATCGGTTCATCACATAATACACTTAAATGCAGTTGAACGAGTTGTAGGTCTATTTATATTTTGTATTGTTTCCCATTCTCCTTTTTGTTCGTCAATCAACGTACTTAATCAGAATTCTCTATTTTGATGTGCCTGTGCCTATGAGCATGCTGATTAAAATTATGTACCGTGGGGGCAATAATTAAAAACGGGAGCTTTGATAGCGAACTTTAAATTGGAACGTGGTCACCGGATAAGTAAACCTGTGGGATTAGAACAATAATGCACATTCATTATGCAAAGGTATAATACATGAGTCATTCTAAGATAGGACTGTAATGTTAAGATATAATTTCTAAACCGAAGCACATGTTTCCGGCTGCAAGGTTTCATAAAATTATAAAGGAATATCCAAGAGTGTCGTAAAATCAGCTGCCTTCGATCGAGACTTCTTTCAAAGAAATTTTAAAAAGTGTTAGCCTTTTCTCGAAGACAACTATGCTATTGTTCGAATATAATCGAATAATCAAAGAGTGTCGTAAAATCAGCATATGCCTTCGATCGAGACTTTCTTCAAAGAAATTTAAAAAGTGTTAGCCTTTTCTCGAAGACAACTATGCTATTGTTCGAATTAAACTTTACGCCTATTTTACATATTTATTGGGGGAAAAATATGATGTTTTTGATTTCTACATTCTTGTGACTAAAGTTATTTATTATTACTTTGTGAACATATACCGGTACGCATTTAGATAGAACTTAAAAAATAATTAAAAAGAATGAGAAATAGGGTAGTGAACTTAAAATTAAAACAATAAAACAATACAGTAATATAAAATACATTTGTGTACACATACACAAATAAATCCCTCCATACTCAATCAATTAATCCTTTTTTCTTTTCAAATTTGACCGACACAGGCCGGAATAAAACAAATAATTTCATACAAAAAAAAAATCAAAAATGCATAGATGCAGTGAAACAAAGTATACAATTCAAAAACAAAGGAACATAATAAATTTGTATTAAACTAAGATAGACTTAATTCAGTTATACCCCCATATACCCACCCCCTCCCAACTCCCTTCCATATATTAGTTACAGTTTCATGTAAATACACAGTAGCAAATAATGTTAGAAAAAAGGTTAACAAAATGAAGCAACTAAAACTAATAAATAATACTAGTACCGTAATCAATGTTCAAAATGCAACAATACAAGAAATAATAACACTTAATAAGACTTAATTTCTGATCGTTTGGACCATGCCAT